ATTTATTATCCTCACTGGTCTCCTAGGCTTGTTATACTTTTAATAGTGTACGTACTCTAACCCTTAGTGCCTTTAATAAATTTTAACTTTATCAGAAACCTTGAATTGAGGGGGAAGGGATATTTCCCTAATTAGAAGAGAAAAAATAAATTACACAGTGGTTCAATTTTACTTTTTCCGTCACCTTCAACTTGCTAGTTTCCACACATGTGGCAGAAAATCAATAAGCCCCTCCCAGAGAAACATAAATTGGGATTTTTAAAAAATTTGCAATAAACACCAAATCTCTCACTATGTTTGGACATGTAGCAAAGAGGTATCTCCATGATTCATCTGGGGTCCAAGGAAGTCACAGGATGTCGTTGTTCCCAAATGCGTAGAGAAGAATGCTCAGTTCATGTTGAGTAAAGTGATGAGTTTGGGGATAAATAACAAGTTTAATCCTAGCTTCCTTTTCACCCCCTATCTTAAGGGCAGCTCGGACATCTGATCCTGTGCACTTGGCATTTGTCTATGGTATTTCAAGGGGTTCTGAAGCTTTTCAAAACATGGCTTTGTTTAATCTAATCATCTACAGCAGCACAGTCACAGGCAGATCAGCACAACCAGAGAACACCCTCTAACCACAGCAAAACACAGGCAGCCCGCCTACTGTGTCTCCTCCACTTCCTAAGTTTTAGCTCAATATTTGGTCTTACTTTTTTTAACTGACACTAGCTTAGGAATCACACTGGAGTCTTTCATAGTGGAGAGATTCACTTAGCACATTTTATAATTAACTACTATAAAGCAAACTTTTGGCATGTTAGCAAATTATGGATTTCATTAATTTAAATAAAATCAGATTGTTGCCCTCAGTATAGTAGAAGCTGGCTTGACATCAATAAAATTATTGTTTTTAGGCACCATGTGTGCAGCAGGTGAAAGCTTTATTAGTACAAGCCGATAATAAAAGTTTGACAAGTTGAAAACATAAACTCAAAATGTAAACTTACATCAACTTAAAAACATTCTGCAGTTCACATTTGGATTGTAAAAGGGTTGTAACGCATTCCTGTCTCCACCCAAGGCACGTGGATGGGGACTGTGTTTCTGATGGCTTGAAGTAAATTTCTCAAAATTTCTAACAATCTAGTCCATGTTACCATACGCATAACACAGCAAAGAGGAAGGCAACTTACGAATGCCCATCCTGTGCTAATCAGTCAGCATCAACCTTCTAGAAGTCTGCACTGGCATCAGCTGATCACGTATCTCCCGATCTAGTTGGTACTGTTGCTGTTTTAAGGAATCAGCAAGAAAAGAGAAGAGTCCCAGCTAAAATGTGGTACACTCAAGAAGGGCAACTTTTCTGACTTGTTCATTTAATCTATGACACTCTCATAGAAGCAATTTAGCTTTCATAATAGCAATGGTGCAAGAACAGACTTCAGCTTTGTCTCTATTTATATTATGTGGTGATCCCCCATGTAGGAATGTTTTTAAGTGGAGAGGATGAGGAATTAAGATTTACTTTATTAGCGCATAAAATGAACCAGGCTTTCTATTTGAAACCTATGTTCAGAAAAAAGGATGCAGTTGTGCATACACTCTGATGAGCACTTGTGAGCGAGTTACTGAACATGTTATTCTTAATCAAATATGTCCTTTTACTTCTCACAGAAAAAGAACAGAGTAGGCAAATTAAGGGAACAGTCTGGAAATTTTCTCCCAGCTTGTGTTTTGAATGCAGTAACACATTTACACTATTTGTTTGCATGAAGAAACTGCACATTTTAGGGTGAGGTTCAAAAAGATTCCAAACACTGGAAAACAGGTTTAAAAATGTCATTTTAATCATCACACATAGTCTACTCTCCATCTGGAAAGTAGCAAGTATCTAATAAAAATAAAAGAAAGAAATTGTGTGAAAAGAATAGAGTAGAATTAGAATCCAGCGCATAGTTAGCTCAGGCAGAGCTGAGGCAAGGCTGACAGCTTCATGCAACAACTTAAAAATAAAAGAACTGGAAGGCCGGGGATTTAGCTCAGTGGTTTTGCCGCCTGCATCGCAAGCACAAGGACCTGAGTTCAATCCCTGGTACAAAAAAAAAAAAAAAAAAAAAAAAAAAAA